TTTATTTTGAAGAACTGCACTGGAATTTGAGTAATGTTCTATTTTGCCATGATAAATAGAGCTGCGTTGAGTCTCTGTGGTTGAAAAGCTGCTTCTGATGAATGACAAAAAGCCTCCCGAGTCCCAAAGGGCAAAGGACATTGTTGAGCACACATCAGCGCACATGCAACCACCAAGCTCTGATCTCTCTCAGAAGTGTTATAAAACACCTAAAGGCTGCATCACGCGGTGGTCCGGTTTGCACGACACCTCATTTCCCCAGTTCAGTCTTGCCGGGTGCAGGTTGCTGTGATGTGCAGACCCAGCAAGGGGTGGGTGGCTGGCTGGCGTGACTGACAGAGTGCGCAGAAACCCTACACCAGTGTGGCTTCCAGGTGGCTTCTAGCACTTGCCAGGTTTCTGTTTCATGACATCCCGAGCCTGGCAAGGTTCATTTGTGCAATTAGCTGGCTGTGTTTAGTGAAACTGGTCAAATGAATTTCCTACTTAGGTGTTGTGCCAGCGTAGAAACATCTACCTTGTCATTCCTCCTTGCCTAAGAGAACGGTAACTGACAACTTTTCTGCATTGTCCTCTTAGTATCTTGAGTCAACCCACCTGGTCCCCTTGAACTCAAAGGGTTGCAGCTGCGTCTCACTTCCTGTTAACGGCACCAAGTTGAATGAATAGGGATCACCTTGGGGAAAGGCTTGGATTGGGCCCTGTGGCTACAATCTAGAGTAGCCCACTACAACCCAGTGTGCTCCCCATGTGTCAGACCACAATTCCCGCCTGATCAGGGATGGTGGGAGCGGTAGGCTAAGACATGGTGGGCGCCAGTTGGGAAAGGCTTCTCTAGCTAATGATGTGATTAATGCCACTCACATTCCTCCCCCAATATACTCGTGGACTTTTTGAAAGGGTTAATTAACTGGGGTACACAGCAAGCTGCTTTTGAAATTTGGGGTTTGAAGAAGGAGCCATAGATGTCGTGGGACACTATGCCTTTCCCAAGAAGTGATCCCAGAGATCTGTCCAGTTCTGGCTAGTCCTCGTGGGCATGGCTAGAGAAGCCATTCCGAAACAATAGAACTGTAATGTATACGACTTGTGGACATCTGTGATGAAAAGAAGTATTAAAGACAACTCTTTGGAGGTCTCCCCCCCCCACTTTAATCTGTTAAACATTCTCCAGCTTCATACAAAAGTTTATGCATAGATGCAAGCGCTTCTCCTCCTCACACACACATCCTGGTTGGAATCCATCATAATTTTATTGACTTTGGTGGAGATACGCCTGATTTACTGTGGGAATGGAATCGTCCTGGGAATGTAACTTATCTCAAAATATGACCAGAGGGGTGAAAATATCTAGAATTAAAAATAGTGTTGCACATCTTGACATTTTTTACATTGTTGGGTTCCAAATAGTTTAACTCTGACCTTGGTTGGACCTCGGGAATGCCCACCCAGTTAAGCACTTCTGTTTCCTCCTCTCCTTTTATTATCAGTGTTTCCTCCTGTCTTTTTCATACATGGATGGTTTTTTTCTACGATGAGTGCAGCTACTGTTCACTTCAATAGCTGCACAAAGGGATCAGCACATTTGGAAATGAAGCCATTGGTAATTAGGTTCTAAAATCTCAACTTAGGATCCAAGCTGTTAGCATCCAGAACTGAAAACTGCAGCCAAAGTTCAGACTGCTATTTCTACTGTTTTTCTTTTTCTCCTTATCAAGAAACAAGATTCCAGTTTTGCAGGAAACTGGGCTGCATTCTTATTGCTCCATATTTTTAATGACCCCTAGAGAAATGGTGTCGGAACATATTTATCCAACTGACTAACTGAATACATTTACTGTCACGATGGGGGCAGGGGAACTATTTGTAGTCTTACCAAGAAAAAAAAAAAAAAGCTCTGTGCCCATCAATCCACATTTTAATTTATAAGTTTCTTTTTTTCCTGTGTCAAACTCGAGAAAAGATGTTTCTCCCTTTCCCATTTTTTATTCCTGACAACAATCGTTTACTGTATTTCCATGTGTGTCTGTGCATAAAAATAAATGCCTATTTTTCTGGATTAAAAAAATATTATTTGCATCTGAGTGTGTTAAATGTTCGATGGAAGATAGCTCTGTAAGTGATGATGTAAATGCATTGTGTGGTTGTATTCTAAAATTTAAATAGATTGTACATATTGGATTGTAAATGAACTGTAAACAAGCAATATAGATTTTCTTGAACATATTATATAGTGGTATATATTTGTTAAATAAGCAACCTTGTATACTCCTAATTAACCTTTTAAATATTTTGTACAGATAAGATTATTAAATATTTTATTGATATGTGCTTCATTGACTTTTTACTTTGGAGATTTTTTGCCTTGTCAGCAATCGGAATTTTTGGGTAGAACTTATATTTCTATTTCTTTACTGGGTGTTTCCAATGTTTGACTCTACTATTTACTCCTATATGAAGCACTCTTTAGAGGTGCTTTATTAGCTCTACCAGATGTGACCTCCCAACAACTTTGTGAGATAGTATGCTTTGTTTCATAGTTTGCACACAAGGGCTGAGGCTAAGCAAGTGTCTCCCCAGAAACTCTGGCCTAGATGGGCTTCACTTCATCGCATTCGGGTTTGTTAGACCAGGAGCCTAGCCATTAACCCAGTCCCGGTGTAGTTTGCAGAGCTGCCGTGAGAGGCGATCCATTTCTACGAGCAGCACTCGCTCCTCCTGCAGGGGCCCCTCACTGGGCAGGCACACTGCTCCAGTGCTGGATGTGGGCCAACACAGTCCTACAATTACTGCTGGTTGGCCCATGGAATGTTTGGCTAAGAGCATCTGCTGAATTAGTTCCCCCCAGGCTTCCCATGGGAACAGTATTCTCAGACGCTGGAGTGAATCCATGAGTGGGGGCTTTGGGAAGAATTTGCTCCTGAATGCTTCTGGCTCACTCAAGGGGATCTTCCATGAACACAAATCATCAGGCTGTGAAGCACCTGGATAAGAGATGAGACGAGAATGGATCTCAGTGAGGGTCAACGTTTCAGTGGGCATCACAGCCTGGTGCTCACCACGCTTTTACTCCTACCTGCCATTGTTTGCTTACTTGTAAAGAAACGACACTGATTGGAAGGACACTTATTTCAAAATGAGCATCTGTAGGAACATTTCAGTTTTTAGTTTAGGAATATTTTGTATCATAGCATTACATGGGGCTTACACTCAGGTAAGAACATGACCAAAGCCAGGGTCCTGTACCCATAGGTAAGCTTTATGTCTACTAGGAAGTAAATAAAGCTATCTCTTCCCCCAGTTAAGTATGGCTAAGCCAACTAATATCAATGAGATAAATAAGTGTCACACCTAAAGTTAAGAAAAATATCTACCTTTTCTATGTAAACAATATTTCTCTTCTCCCATCCAAGTGCAAATGTAGACTTGAGCTGTAGCGCTAGAATGGACATGGTCCAGGGAGCCACTGCTGCAGATTATGCTCATTTCGATTCTGAAATACTTTGCAGAGGACCTTTGAGGATGCATTGGCCCAGGTAGTGTATAATAAGAATCAAACTGCAAAAATACAGCCCACCTGCCCAGGATTGTCTTCCCCAGGTCTAGAACCCACAAGTGTAATATTTATATCTTCACAGTGTTAGGAGAGAAGCAATTTGCAGACATCTTGGTACAATATGCAGCACAGAAAAATCGATTCCAATCATCATAAGTACCAACGGACACACGAAGATCTCTCTGTGCTTGAGGCAGAACATCCAAATGGTGGCAGCAGTAATCATAAAAAATAAATTAATGGACCATTTGCTGTCCTTCAGTGGCACTGACCACCAGAAGAGCCCATCTTGTTATGATTTACTGCAGGACTGCTGTGGAATACCAAGTTTTTCTTCTTTTTCTAAAAGCACCTTGCTCAGAGCAAGAACGGCGGCATCCACCCTCCCTCAGTCCCACTGATACAGATGTGCTGCCACTGCTCTGCAAATGCTGCATCCGTGCAGCTTACAGCAACAGCCACATCTGCCCACTGCACGGTACGCTTACGAAGCAGCAGCGTTCTCTTCCAGACTTACATGTTGGCTTAATCCTTCCCAGTCACCAGCAAACTCTTCATGGAATCTTATTTTGTCTCAGTTCCAAAAAAGAGGCACAGGGGCTCATGGTAATTGCAAACCTTAGCTTGACCCATAACAATGATAATAAAATGACACCCTCGGGGGCAACGTAGGTCTTTATTCCAAGTATAGTTTCCAGTAATTCTACTGGCAATAAAAGTTCTTCTTTTGTTGCTACTTCAAGCATAAAGATTTCTTGGTGGACAAAATAGTCTTCTGGAGGTGGGGATGGGGAAGGATCCAAGTTTGACGTCTGTCTGCAGCATGGAATAGGTAAAATGGGAACAACGGCAAATGATGATATATGTACAGTGGCATTTCTTTGGAAGAAATTCTTGTTTAGACGTTGAATATCTCAGTTATATCTCTTATGTATGCATGAGTAACATGTATTGATAGCATTCCTTGTAATCTAGTGTTTTGACAGCTAAATAGGAGACCATAAGACACAGTTTGTGAATTTTAGTTCATCTAGTGCAGAATCTACAACTTTCCCAGAATCTTGAGAATATTAGGGCTTAAAAAAGAAGTTCCTAGTCCATGTGTTTTCAAAGCTACGATCCTACTTTCTTCCATCCATCCATCTCCTATGTTTCTGCCTTAAAAAATATGCTCAAGGAAGCTAAATATCCAGCTTAAAACACCAAATCATAATTTAAAAACAAAACTCTATTGATTTCTCAAAAAAAAAAAAAAGTCTGCACTTTGAGGAGTGAGTGGGTGGTGGGGAAGGCTTAGTGGCTAGATGCCATTTATTACTTTGGAAACCAGCTTTAAGTCCCTGTCCCCCTTTGCTGAAAACTGAGTAAGAAACCCCCTACGCTGGACATCACACCCCTCCTTTTTAACTACTACACTGTTAAAATAATTTTCATATTAATGATAATTATTATAAATATTTATTATTATTATTAAAATAATAACAACAACTTACCCTATCTACAATAAAGCCTTCAAGGCAGTGTACAAGAATTTAAAATAATAAAATAAGTATAGTAAAAACAGTAAAACATCAAAACATAGAAAACTATACATTTTCAAAACTGAAAAGGTATTTATTTGTTCATTAGTTTATTACAATTCTATACCACCCTTAGTCAAAATCTGTAGGTGATTTACAAGACAAAACTTAATATCACAAAACACAGTCATATCTTAAAACAACAACACTTTGTGTTAAAAGCAGTAACCAAGATAAAAGCCAGCAGCAGTGCAAAGATCTAAAACTGCATGGACACAACATCTTAAACATGAATGGCTCAAAAACCTGGGAAAATGGAAAGGTCTTCACCTGTAGAGAAAAGATGAAGGCACCAGGCAAACCTCTCTGGGGAGGTCTTTCCACAGCTGAGGTGCCACCACTAAAAGTCCCTGTCCTTAGGAGCTGCCTGCTTCATATCATTTGGCAAGGGCATCCTCAGGTGAGCCTCTGAGGGCAGTCTTACAATCTGGGCAGAAATAAAAGCAAGGAGCAATACTTCAGGTAACCTGGCCCCAAGCTGTTCAGGGTGCTGAAAGTTAGTATTTGCACTCTGAATTGGCAATTTGATTCTACAGTTGTTCCTGTCTTCTGGCTTCAAGCCAGGCCTTTTCAAGGCATGCCTAAGAATTGCCTCCTGTGAATTGGCTGGCACTATTCCCTGCGCCAAGAAGTTGTTTACAACCTCCTGGACCCTGCCAGACATCCCTCCTGTTAGAAGTAAGAAGCAGTAGAGAGCAGGAGTCAAGCACACAGAGTGTTGAACAGACTTGGCCACGTACCCCCTCTTTAGATCTCAGTGACCCAAACCCACCCGATACAACTACATCAGGCAGCACTCCGAACGCCTCGGCTAATGAAACTGCATGGACGGTGGGGACCAAGCCGAGATGAAGGCAAGGGACTCTAACTTCAAAGTGTTATGCAAATTTGTCACAGCGTGCTCCTGAGATTACCACCCACCCCGTCTCTGGCTCAGGCTGAAGCAGGCCGTGAACCATTCAGCAAAGCTCGGCTGGGCAATTGATGGAAGGTCCAACGGCGGTGAATGTTTTCTTGGTTACCTTTGCTGCCACAGAGTAGGCAGCATAATGAGATCTAATCGTGATTAGTCAGACTTAGCTGTGTCTTCCTCCACCTGTATTTCAGTCCTTTTTGTTCTGATGTTACTGCCCTCAGCTCAGGTGTAGACCAAAGAGCTGCCAAGGCTATGGCTGGAGGGAGTGGGTGTTTGGGAGTGCAGAAGGCATCTCCACCTCCCACAGACCAAGGCTTCAGCAGGAGCACCAGCCCCCGGAGCCCTCTGGAGCCCTTTGGTCTCAGCTGGCGGACTATCTTCATGTTCCCTGACTTCTGCAGTGGGGAAAGGCTGATGTGAGTAGAGGCCTCAATAAGAAGCGACACGACCATGACAAGAAGATGTTAATGCCCCCACTTTCAGATCACCATCCTCCTGTCCACTTGAGAAAAACACATCAAGGGTGTCTCCTCCTACGTGCATTAGGCCAAGACCATATTGGAACGGCCACATGCTTGGCAGAACGTCTTAGTCATATGAAGCAATGAGCCGCCCTGGTTTTGATGGCCTCAGCATGGAAGCTGAGATCCATAGAACAATAATCCCAGAGGCCTTCAACACTAAGCTTGAGACCAGATCCATCAGTAAAGTCAAGAGCACACCCCTTCTAAGCAACCTGTCCCAGGAATTTCATGTAGATATTAAACAACATGGGGTACAATACAGATCCCCATGTGACACCTCAAGCCAATGGCCTAGAAGTTGAACCATAATTCCTCAGCACCATATCTTGGATATAGCTTGATAGAAAGAACCTTTGCAAAACCATAGCAGATGGTCTCAAAAGTTGCTGAGTGGTCTAAGTGAACAAATAGGCCTCATGTTCACTTCCCCACTTCCTACATCATCCACCAAGGCAACAAGGTCTCATATCCTGGCCAAAAGCCCAACTGAAATAAGTCCAGACAATCAGTTTCATCCAGACACATCTGGAGTTGTAACACTGCCACCTTCTTCATCACTTCATCAGTTTAGCAAATGGTACATTCGAAACAGGCCTACGGTTAAGACAGAGCTCTTGGTTCAAGGGAAGGCTTCTTTAATTCTGTTTCCTACTACTTAAGCAACAGGGAATGCCCCCCTCCCACAAAGAGGCATTAATCACATTGTTTAGCTAAGACAACTCTGTGCAGGAAGCCTGTTTTCAACTAACTGTTGAACATTTAAAGGGTAGATTTTCCTTTCTTTTTTGGTACTGTTAGTAGACAAATTAACAATGAACACCCAAATAGATCAGATCCGACACACAGTGAAATTCCAGGGACGTGTTTGTAAAAGGTTGAGTAACCCCAGTGTCTAATGAGGAGACACTGAAAAGCACGATGTGTCAATCAGCTACATAAGTATCCATCCCTACATAAATTAAAAAAAACCCTTAAAACACCTTAACAATTAAAACAACACATGAATCAGCTAATGTTCTAACACTGAGATTTCTCTGTAATGGACAAGTAACATTCTTAATTAACGAAGCAATAATATTTACATATTATTCAGGAGAAGATCAGGAGATTTAAGACAGAGAAGGTCCACTTGGCTCTGCTCCACTACTGCCCATGATTATGTTCCGAGGCGAACGTTTCACTGTAAGTGGTACAACGGGACAAGCAGTCTCCCATTCTGGTTGCCCTGGCTGCCTTTTCTATCGCTGTAAAGCAGGAAGCAACAATGCTGCTACTTCAAGTCCTGGGGAAGTGCAGCTATGCCATGGGGCCTTTTCAGAGTGGGGAGGAAGCAGAGCAGGGGGCAGTTTTGCGGAAGGCCCCCACATGCAGCCTTCCAGAAGCCCCCATCATTTAAAAAACAGATCGACAAAAAAACGCACCCCACTTATATGTGTTTGGTCTCCCAAGAAGACGGCACTCCCACCCGCGTTGTCAATGGAAAGTACCACTCTTAAGGAACTCTGTGCTGATCCTGCTTGGGACAGCCTTCACTTTTTGGGTATTTCTGCTCTCCAAATGGTTCTCTTGTGTCATTACAAACACTGCAATAAGATGAATATTATAGCAACATAAAAGATTGTCCTCAGAAAAGTGTATTTTGAAATAGCATACACAGATTGCTGCTAGAGTTCTGAATTTAAGCAAATAACCACTGACCTTCCTATACAGCAAAACCGTTGCATTCCAGAGATAAATGTGGGGTATCAGGTACTTATTTAAGTCAACAAAGTGAGGATTTCAGACTGGGGTGATTTGGAAGGTATAGGATTATTCTAGGGTTAATAAGATACTCATGGTAAACCACAGGCTGCTCTGAGGAAGCGGTATTTCAGCCTTATGGATCTGTTGGAGAACCCCTAAATATCTCTTAATCTTATGCCAAATTGGCAGAGGTGGCAAGCTTGTCTCTGAGCAGCGCCCCTCAAAGGGAAAGGCTCACACAACTGCATGTTCTGTTAAAAAAAATAGAACCCCACCCAGCATTTGGAAACCAGCATGTCAAGGAAAAAGCTGGGCTAGGGCCTTCTCTCCAAAGTCTAGATTTGTATGTGCAAGGCACGCTTCTGCCTGGGGCAGCATTTAATCAAACATGCGGGGGCACTGCAGCCTCAGGCTGTACAGTCCAGAAACAGGTTTGCCTGTGAGAGATGGGGTTTTAGTGGTGTTCAGAAAATAAGTGCAGATTAAACAGTTCATCATTTCAGCTTAAAGGTATTGTCTCTTCCAAGTCTTTTTCTTTCTCTTGCTTTATGAAAAGTAAAAGATGGTTTTGCTAGGAAAGAGATGGAGGAAATGGGTGATAAATTTCTTTTTAAAGCACCTGTCTCTTTTATGCTTTATGGTCAGTTGGAACCGTTTCAAGTATTACCCCCTTTGTCCCTTTTTATTTCATATAACAAAATTTTCAATAAAGTATTTGTACAAAAATTAATCTTACTGACTTTAAAAACAGGAGGTTATGAGGCAATCGAGCGCTTAGTGCTGCCTGCTGATAACTGCCATTAGCACATGATCTGCTCTAAGCTTTGCTGCCCCTTGGTTATGCTCTGAAGCTGGAGCTGGTTCACATATGAATGGGACAGCCCTGGCTAACTCCTCATGTCCAGTGACTTGCCAGTGAACACAAGCACTCCCTCTCCATGTAGGAATACGAGGGGGCTGTTTGTGGGGCTGAGTTGGTCATAAAATCCCTCGAGCTTGAAAAATCCACATTACACTATGCAGGTGTCAACTTGTCTTCTACCAATGGGATACTGCTGCGTTCACACCATCGGTACCTTACACCTACTAAGTCCAGTTTTGCACTTGACAAAATCCAGACCAGGGCACCAGGAGTCACACGATCCCAGCTGTTCTTCTCCCCCTCCTTCCAAGAAGATCAGGACAAAGTCTTTCTAATTAAAAGGCTTTATTATGCTGAAGCTGACTACCTAGGCTGGCTTTGCAGTACGAAAGTATCCAGTTTTGGAGAAATCAGTAACACAAAAATAAGCAAAGTTAGACAAGTGGCCATTAGGGAAATAGGGCTGACAGACAGCAAGCTGATCCCAAACTGATTGCTTCCTCTTCCTTCCAAACAGAAAAGAGCAGACTATACCTTCAAGGTGGACAGTCCCACTTATGGACCAATTGCTTGGAATGTCTGGTGCTTATCAACTGGTCTGCCCTGTTAACCTGAAGCTGAACCTTGGATTAAGGATGTTAGGTCCTTTGTCCAAGTCCCCCTGCTCCACATTTGCATGCTTACTAAACTTTCCCACAGTGTGGGAATAGTGAGTGTGCATTCTAATCCCTCTTCCTCATCTTAGCCAGAATCTATTTCCACAATCTTTTTTATTTATTGGATTTATACCCCTTTTTAAAGAACTCACAGAGGCTTACATCATTCTCCTCCCCTTGCTCTCAACAGTACTGTGAGGTAGGTTGGGCTGAGCATCTGGCTGGCCCAAGGTCACCCAGTTGGCTCCACGGCTGTGTGGCGACTAGAACCCTGGTCGCCTGAGACCCAGGCTCATGCCGTGAGCCATTACACCACACTGGCTTCCGATTCCTAAAGGGTGTTTTATAGGAAGGCCCTTCACATACCTCGGGCATTCAGACAACACTATAACCCACACTCATGAGTTGAATGTGGGTTGAATGCTCTTTGTTGCTGAAATGTGAGTTACTGTGTTGTCTGAAGCCAGCTGCATTAACAAGCCTTGAAGAGCATTGTTGGATTTTGAACTGTGGGTTGATTTGTTATCTTTGCTGGCTTCAGACAATGCAACAACCTGTAATACAATAGCTTACCTGTAACTGTAGTTCTTTTAAGTGCTCATCTGTGTGCTCACAGGTGTGGGTCAATGGACCTGTGCGGAACACTGTTTGAAACATTCTAGAACTCAGCAGCTTTTTTTTGCAGGAGTCTTGCCCCCTCTCCCTGAGCATGCTCAGGTGTGGTTCCCACCTGTATCTCAGTTCCATGTCTACTACAGCAGAGGAAAAGACTCATGAGGCAGAAAATGGTGAGGAAGGTGGATTATATAAGGCACACATGACCACTTGAAGAACCACAGTTTCAGGTAAACAGCCTGTCCTCTTTGTGTTCTCTGTGACTCACACAAGTGGGTGTCTATAAACCTAAGACCTTACCAGTGAAAGGAGATGTCATGCAAGGATCAGGGACAGAACAGTTCAGCTGAAAGAAGCTTCTCTCTAGCTCTGACGTGCAAGCAGTAATGATTAATATAAGTGGATGATTGCGCCTAAGTGGCTGCAGCACAGAGATGTGGTATTGGCCTTGCTCTGATGAATATGATTCAAGAGGCTATTCCCTTGTACGGTGACCTTTTTCTTGGAGAGCAGGTGGCAGATGAGCCAGTTGGCAAGCCAGATGAATGGTAGACCTGACCCATTTGGCTGAGTACTGAGAGGAAATTGCATGACCCTTTCTATTTCTATTTATTTATTAATTAAAAGCTTTTCTAACCCGTCCACTACAAACGTCTCGGGATGGCATGGAAAAAAATGTCTGTTGTTCACTGAGATGAGGTCAAGTCTGCCTGGGAGAAGAGTAGGTGTGGCTGGAGAGGAGGGGAGCAAACTGAAGTTGCCAGGGCCACCATGGGGTGATCAATGCACAATGTGACCTGTTCTACATCTTGTTCACCACCTTCATGTTTAGTGGAAATGGAGGAAGGACTAAGTCCTAGAAGGTGTTGGCCTTGCACAACTGGATACAGGAAAGGTTGGTTCTCTGGGAGCAGGTAGCCTCTATTTGGTCTCCGGGGAGTCCAAAAGCACCACAATAAACTGCGGGTTGCAAGTGAGGTTTCTCTACAATGATTTGTAGGCCTAGAGAGATTAGAAGATGAGGACAATTGAAATGCTCATTGAAAGTTGTGGCTGAGAGACAGTGATAAAGAGCTAGTTATTGAGGAAAAACTGTGATTCCTGTCAGTCTCATCTGTGCTACAATAACCCTCATTCATGTTGAAAAGATTCTCAGTGTAGTAGCAAGGCCTAATGGGATTTGGAAGAGCACAAGAATGAGGAGTGGGAGGAGGGGTGTACAGGTATATGGAAACATGCATCTGATAGGTTTATTGCCGCAAAGTCATCTCTGTGGTGATGACTATGGCTAAGATTGTCATCATTTTGAATTTTGGGGAACTGTATCATGCTGTTGATGCTGCAAAGATGCAGTATAGGGTGAAGGCCTCTATCCTTTTTGAGGACTGTAATGTACCTTGAGAACCACCCAGATGTCTTTTGAGCCAGGCAGGGCTGTCTTAACAGCATTATGGGCCCTGGGCAAAGCAGTGTTTACTGGGGCCCCTACTGTTAATTTTAGAAGTTTTCCAATTTTCCAAAGGTTAACATACACAGATTACTATGGGGCCCACGGGCAAGTGCCCCTCAGGTCCATGTGTTAAGATGGCTCTGGAGTCAGGGGGATGCTTTCAACTGCATCTCGGGCAAGAAGGATAAAGAGTTCTTCCCTGAGAGGTGTTGTAGGGGGCAAATTCATTGAACGATGCAACACCCATGAGCAATCACGGAAAATTCCCATGTGTCTCAAGTTATGTGGTGTCATGTGTGGAGACAATGTGTTAGTTTACTGGGTGATAGGGTCCTGTAAAGGACTCCATTGTGGTAGTCAAAGACACTGCTGGTTCTGATTGGTGGTTTTGCCATGACTGGATTGGTGGAAGGTAGGCTGGAAACGATGTTTAGAATAAATCGAGAGGTAAGGGTTGTTTCTAGGTGCTCTATTTGGAACTGAATTGTGCTGTTGACATGGAGGCCATGGTGGTCCAAGTACAGTTGGGACCATCCTGTTGGAATCTCTGTGGAATGAGGGGCAACTTTCATTCTCATTGCTTGAACAGCATTGTGTCATTTGGAAGACATTAATAGCTGAATGAGAGATCCTACAAGCCTAATCTTGTTTCTGGATATAATCCAGGGTTAGAACTCCTGTGTGTCTTCACACTGAAATAGTTGCTGCCATTGATTCAGACTGGCAGTCCATCCTCTGTCACGTGGTATTGCTTTGCTGACTTGCCAGCTGGTGTGCCTCTGTTTGACAGATTGTGGTGAGTTTTCTAAAATCGCAGGTAGTTCATCGAAGAGAGGGGCTACCCCATCTCATAGAAATTGCTGATATGTCACCATGCAGGCTTGGTAGTTTGCCATCTGTAAGGACAGGGCAGTTGTAGAAGAGATTCTTCAACTGATGCTGTTGTGTTTCCTACTGATGCAGTTGCATCTCCTACCCTCTGTGAGGGAGGAATAAGACGGATTTCAATTATGAAGCTTCCACAATATTCCAGTTTGGTACTGGGTATTTGAACAGGAGGGAACAGCCTCTCTACTGAACCTTATAAAAATCCTCGATCTTACGTTGGGGGTATAGAGAATGGCTTTGCCCATGGCTATTTAATCATCTAGAGAATGAGACCAGCAGTTCCATGTCAGCTTGAACCCTGCTAAAGACCAGGTCAGAGACAGTCTGATCTCTAGACTGAAGGGTTGGTAATCCTCTGAATTTGCTCTGTGGGAAGCTTAATGTCATCTGAAGGAGGTGAAGTGTCTTGGTCCACCAGAGCGGCATCTGGAGAGGATGCTGATGGTTGGGCAGAGGAGGGAGTTTGGAGAGGCTGTGTAAATTGAATGATCAATGGCGACTATCTAGCAAGCACTTAATCTGGAACATTTTAAGGGACAACATTAAGGAAGAAATTGTCCAGAAGTGCTGTCATAAATGGAGATGTAGACTGATTGGGCTTACTGGACTGGGCTCTGCAGAATGGCCGACCTCAAGAGGTTTTTGCCCCTCCTCCTAGGAGGCCTTGAGCTTGAGTGGCAAGGAGAGGACTGTTGGTGTTAGTAAATTTGGTAGTTGGGGTCTTCATAGTAGTATAGTGGTTCCAAGAAGGGGAATAGTAATTGTAATAATAGTAGTGTGGATAGTATGAAGAGGCATCTCCAGGGAGATCAAAGCAGGATCTTAAGAAAACACCTGAAGAAGTTAATGACACCAGAGAAGTTCACTGGTGCTTCTAGAGATTTGTGTGAACAGTAATATGGCTTGGGAGAAAAATGATGAAAAGATCCATCCCCTAAAATGGATCCAAGGCATCAGAAATCATCCTGAGAATTCCACCCTTTTCAGACTCTAATTTTTCCTAATGCTGGAATCAGCAGGTGGGGAAGCAGTTGTGGTGTCAAAGGTCTAGCCAACTGAGCTGGAGCTAAGCCTGGTTCTTACTTGGTGCTGGAATCAATTCAATGGAATGACTGTATGTGTTTCATTTTTGGTCCTGGGGAACTAACCATTGCAGGGTGCTTGGGGCAGAATTCAGTCTATTTTACTTGCTTGGTATTAACTCAGTAGTGTGGGCACCAAAGGAATTGTGCCGCTGGTCCAAGGAGACAACTAAAGGAGTAGGTATCAGACACCTCAAAGAACAAGCTGGGTGGCTGTGTCCTCCATAAGTTTGGGGGAGGAGGGAGGCAGTCCTGTGTAGATAGAGGATGAAGTGGTACATAAGGGTCACTTTTGTACAGCCTAATCTGCCACTTTTAAGGTTTGCTCCCAAAGGATAGCATGAAGGGCGCCAATCTATTCTTCCTTGCCTGTTAAGTAAAGGCCTTGCAATGGCCTTTACAGAGTTGTTCCCTCTGAAGATCTGTCCAATGACAGGAACTTTTTACTACAGTGAGAACACTTTCTGAAGAAGGCCTTGTAGGCTTTGTAGGCCTTCTTGGGGAAAAGGAAAAAAAAAGGAGGAGAGATAGAAGAAAAACTATTGAGTGCCTCAAAGGGAAAGAGAGGAAAAAGTAGAGGAAGACTGCATAAGCAATATTATTATTGTTGCTATAAGGCAGAGAATGCGCCAAAGTACTGCTTTTGCCATAGTGGAAAGAAAGGAACTAAGGTGCAGACAGAAACCATGTCTGGAGTATGTGTGGAGGAAGGGGATGCGTCACCTGAGAGAAAGCTCTACTGAATTCCAGAATGTTCTGAATACCTATTATTCCATATGTGCGAGTCACAGAGACCACGAATAAGAACCTACAGTTCAAAGGCAGGCTATAATCAACCCATACTCAACTCCTGAGCTTGGGTTATGATGTTTACGTTGTCAGTAAGACTCTTGCCAATGGAACTACACTTTGGGCCACAAATTTATACTACATCCTCCAGAGTAAACCAGCCACAACGCACAGGCAAAATCAGGAGCAAGCCTTTTCATGTGAAATGACACACCCACAAAATAGTTAAACATTCTGCACCCTGGACTCTGCCAGATGTTCCGTCTCCATTTGCAGCCTGGCTAAATCATCCTGTACCCAGTCTATGACCATTTCAGCCACCTCTTTGGGAAATGTAGAGACAAAAGCATGTGGGATTCCTTTCTCACATAGCCGGATATCTCCATCTGGAAACTCCATCTTCATTTCTTCATAGAACTGTACAGGACACCATCTGTCTCCAGTTCCATAGTAAAAAGTCAGCTAAAAATCAAAGTAGAAAAATACCTTACAAGTAAGAAAAATATAAGAGATAAATTCAACTGTCAAACAGAAGATGAAGACTTGGCACTGGGATAACATCCCCATCTTAGTGGACAACCTCAAGCCTAGATTCCATTTAATAACACAAGTATAATAATGCCTCACACAGCACCATTATGGCAAATTACAGAATATCGTACACATTGGAAGTAATATAAACAGTGCATCAAAATGATAATGGGGATGCTCAGGATTCGTTAAATGAAGAAGGCCAGGATTGCAAAGCATTTTTTTCAATAGAAAGTCTGAGGCAAGCGCTAACTGCATGCTGTGGCACACAGAAATACGCATCCGGACTGTAACCGACTTGAAAGCCTATCCCCATATACAGTGTACACAGCGGACAAGAACTGCACAGGGCACTAGGCATACGCTTGTGCATCCAGTCTGCATACGGACAAACCTGAATGAGAAAGCCTTCTTCTGGATACAGACCTCTCCACAAAGCCACACTCCTAAGCCTCACAGCATGGAAGAGGATCAGTATAATTAGCTTCCAAGAAAACATGTTCAGGATGTGTATGTCATGTTGGGAGATCCTAAAGCTTCTGTTTTGGCCTTCAGAGTCAGATTAGATGCGAGAATAAAGGCATCAATTCAAGATCTGTAATTTTTGTATAATTTAATTCGTACTATTAAGGACCACTCAATACATAAAAGGCATATTTTAATTAGTCAAATACTTTTGATTCATTGAACTTAGCTGTAGCAAACTAAATGCAGCAACCCTAGAAATGACATGGTGCAGGATATACATACGCATCATATCCTGTCCTTCTCCAAGTACTGCTTAAACAAGAATAACTTCAGTAGAAGTCAACACCATCTGCATGGTTCAATATTCCCTTCTGCAATGGCAGAAACAAATTATAATTCAGTTTTAACCTTAAAATTTTCTGAGCTGTCTCCCATCATCACTGATAAATCAATGAAATAAATCACAGAATCAAAGCTAAATCTTCAAGGTATTCCTCTAGTCTAGAGTCTCAGTCAGGTGAATACATATTTAATTCACTAGACTGCAGGACTCATAAGAATATCCAGACATATTTTCAATCTGTACAAAAGCTTGTAATTCCGTGCCACCCATATAAAGTAGCCAACAAAACCCCTCCAAACTTTAATTTTGTTCATCCTTCACTATCCCATGTATTTTCTAACTATTCCAATTTCAAACTTGTTTTTGGAGGGGGGGTCTTGAACAATTTATCAAATGCAATTTCCATAAAATATTGTATGAGAATTGGGAGACACACAACGATGGCAGATGTTGTAAAAATACCGAAAGAATCTGAGATTGCTATCAACAGGATGTTTACATTTAAAGAGTTTCTAAGAAAATAATGATTTCCTGCCATTCATTCTGCTGTCATTGGGGTTACAACATCTCAAAAAAGTGTACATTACCGACAAAAACCCCACAACCTCTTTTCCCTGTTCCGTGGCTGTCTGTGATCCATGACAGAAAAAGAAAACAACTCTCTTAAAGTATGGCAGGTATTCATAGGGTGTCTTCATAGGGTGGACACAGGTCTTCTACACAGTGGACCATCCTCGATTGGAAGGTGCCCCCTGTTCAAAGGTTGTCTTGCGCAGTTCTGGTTTGAAGACAAAGCGCAGCAAGAAGTGCCACCCCTCCAGCCCCAGCACTACAATGGCAGACTGAGCCCCAGGTTACCTGGTCTCAACCTTCCACACTCCGTGGAGATGGACTACATTTCTCTTTACCTAATAATCTGGATTTGCATATATATATTAGCACATACAAATGTCATTCAAACTGCTGTTCTCCCCCACACCTTTGTTTTTGGTAATGCATTCCCCCTTTTGGCCATTTGTATGGGAGTGCCTCCTGCTGCAGCCATCCCAACTTCCTCCGCATGCCTTTGGGCCATACAGGGGTCTCAGAAATGTCCTTAAGGAATAAGGATGGTGGATGGCTGCAGGCTGCTGTTTTCCCTAGCTGTGTGCCCAGGCGTCAAGAAAAGGGGAAAAACAAAAGCCAACATGGTGGATGAGGGGGCTAGAGATGCCAGCAGCTAGTCAGCTGGGGGGGATCAGGGAAGCAGACAGGAAGCCAGAAGGAAGCCAGTGGGTGAGTGGGGGATAGAAAAACAGTTGGCTTTCTATGAAACAGGCTTCTGTTGGCACTGGAGTAGTTCAAAGGAATGGTTTAGTGTGTTGGGGTTCAGACCCTACCTCTGCCATTTATACAGGCTTCTTTGTAAGTTACTCGCCATTCATGCCCAGCCATTCCTTTATGGCAGCCATTTGGTGGTGGTGCCCAGGATAGTTTATCAGGTTGCCAAAGGGGCCCCAAAAGTTGCTTTTGCAAATATTATGTAAATTACCTTCTTCTGTGATGCATGTCCTTATTTTTGTTGATTCATAAGTGGACACTCTAAGGCATCCTTCATTTCGAATATTATGCTTAGTAGGGCCAACTTAAATCAGAGGAAATAAGAGCAAACAAGAGCAACCTCCCTCTAACTTTCGGCTGTAGATATTTCTGTCTCTCTTCCATTGAGTTTTCTCCATCCTCTAATCTTTCTCCTCCTCTCTCCACTGCATCTTTTGCTTACGTTAAAAACAAAAACAGCAGCACCTCAAGCAAATACATAGAAAACAAAACAGCAACACTGCTCAGTTTCGGGAAGCCCTGATTCTGGCTCACAAGCAGCCATTTGAAAACTGATGCCCTGTGCAGTGCAGTATGTTAACAAGAGCCACCCACAGTAATTAGCCAACAAACCTATCAAAGGCTGGCTGGAATTTGGTTCATGAAGCTTCAGCACAGGAAACCCTTTTCCTGAATTCAATAAGCATACTGTAAATTTGCCTTAAGCTATTTTTTCACTGTCAACTTTCTTCTTCCAATCTCAGTAAAATAATGAAAACAAATGATCTCTCTCTCTCTCTCTCTCTCTCTCTCTCTCTCTCTCTCTCTCTCTCTATTTTGAGATTCTACTTTGTGGTTTGAACTTAACATGCATTACCAGTTGGATGTAAACTGAAGTGTTGGTGTTAACCCAAAAGCACTTCACATACAGCAATTCTCTCACAAAATGCCTCTGGCCATATGGAGATCAGCTGGTGCTCTCCTGTACTTCCTTTTTCTTATTCTGTCAAGACTAAGCAGATTTGTTAATTTTCAAGAAATGCTGGGTTAAAAAGAAATCTAATGAATGAAACAACATTCTAAATGTTACTCATTTCCCTAGGTGCAATGCAATATTGAATTTTCTTGCTGTGCCTTTGGATAAAAATGGTGATAAACTATTTTAAAATTGCTTTCAAAATTGTAGGTTATCAGAGCAATGAAAGGCGTTATCAGGGAACACTTGAATTTTACATGTTGCTCTGAGCAAAGTAAAGCTACACATTTAAGCAGAGATATTAAAAATATAAACCAAGCACAGTTAAGCCTTTCAAAGAAACATGGATCGCTCTCCCATGCAAAACTGGGTCCCAGGTAGCAGATTGTTGCTTACAGCAGCTCCTGACTTGACTAGGTTGAAAACTACTCCTTCTAGACCACTTCTTGGATCTGGGGTTTCTAGGGTCAACTATCGCTACCTTGGGTTCCCTGGACACTGTGTGGCAGCTCTGCCAATTTCTTCTTACTGACATGGTTCGGAGCCCAGAACGGTGATCTGTATCTTCCTTTGCTTACAGAATCACACAAGAGTAATATCAAAATAATTCAAACTTGTAGCAGATATGCTCTGTAATCTGCAGCGATTCGGGGCACTGTTCACATAATACAATGTTATGAAGGATGTTGAACCTGGAAAATTATATGTTTGAAGGGCATGAGTCAAACTCCATTCCTTACTCTACCAGAAAATGCACTGGGAATATTGAAGTCCAGTGGATAAAGAGATGTGTTAAAGAGATCTCATTCATGTGCAGACTCATTGGATTGTCTTAGAAAAGTTATGATATCCAGTATCCACTAACCATTAAGAATAAGGATAGCCACATCATTAAGCAAGCTGAAGTGGCCTGCCTCACACGGCAGATATTAGAGTAGCCTTCTCCAACCTAGTGCCCTGCAGACAACTCCCATATTCTCCCAGCTGGCTACTTCACAGTACTACTAGAGGGCAACCAATCGTCAACAATTTCGTTTATTCTTACAATTATTTTATAGGAATCTGCATGGCAGACAGCATGGTTTTGAAAGGTGGTGAAGAAATATATTAAGGGCACAATCTTATGATTAGACAGAAAAAAAATCCTACAACTCTTACCATCCCTTAGCTAGCCATGTTTACTGGGGCATCCTGGGAGCTGTAGAACTTTTTTTCCCAGCCTTTCCATCTTAAATAACGAAACATCATGTTCTTACTACTTTGGAGGCACCACGTGGCAGCAATTTATCTTGAGGAACACTGAATTATAATTTTCTTCAGCCCTATAGATTTCAACTAAAATTTCCATCAGCCCCACGATAAAACAAAAGAACCCTTCCCCCGCCATTACTTCTATTATCAAGTGATTGCATCTTAGGGCTGACTTAATGGAAATGTGGAGTACAAATGGAATGATGGAATAAATGCAGATATGCATGTACACACACATCTCTCATGGGCAAATTTAACATATGGTTTGGCCTGAAGACAATGGTGCTCAAGGCAGCTAATAATATGACACGCACATTTAAAAGTTCATGCACGTTTAATAATGCTGCACATAAAAAGGCAGCCTCTGTTGAATGGAATTGATTAAAAACGCTGTACAAGTTGTACACTTTTGTGTTAAGGTGCTCATGTGAACAAACTGCTCTTGAGCCGAATGTAACAAATGAACCAGTGCCTATTTTGTAACTCACAATAGCCATTTCACTTATCTTCCATTTTCCACATGCTCAGTTTCTGTCTACCTTATAGTGCTAACTTTTCAAATCTTGGGTGTGTCACAGAAGGACTAATTTGAGCATGTGGGAGAGAAATTTTGGACATTGCTCCATGTGCCAGAGCCTGCTTAAATGCTACGTGTAGCAAAATCCTCATGTGCAGCTTTCCTAACTTCCACTCCGGACTTCAGCAGTATGCAGTCCAAAAAGCATATGGGACCTGCCAAAATAAAAGGTGTTCCTGGCTGTGGAGAGCATTTTAGATCTATTCATACAGTGTAGTTGGAAGATTTTCCACAACTGGAGGGAAGTAATTTACTCTGGCTGTGGGCAGAGAGTACGCATCTGTAGTGTCTTCCGTACTGCTGCTTTCCAGATTATGAGCCTTTCAAGGGCAATAACTATTAAACTGCTATGGACAGCTTTGGACACTGGGTCAAGAAAACTGTGCAACACCAGACCAGCTGTTTCAATAAAACCAGCTCAAGATTGGTTTTGGCTGCTTCAGCTCACAATTTTTTTTTCAGGCTGCTTTAACAAAATGAGCCCGTGCTTTAAAAGAACAGTTTTTTAATTCTGAAAAATAGGGGCCTATTCAAAGGTATTGTGACTTCAGTTTTACAGTGCATGACAATTCATCTTTATGGAGGGTCTCAGGCCATGACAGAAAACGATCCTGTGTTGTGTGCACATATAGGACTTCTATATACCTGCACCAGGGCTTCACCCTTTGTCTTCCATCAGCAGCTCACAACAGGGACACAGAACGCTGCCTGGATCAAGTCAGACCGTTGGTCCACCTAGGCCAGTATTGTCAGCACTGGCCGGTTTCAGCTCTCCAGATTTCCAGGCAGGGATCTTTCTCAGCCCTACCAGGAGGTTCCAGGGATTAAGGATGGGGCCTTCTGTAGGCAAACATGTGTTCTCTCACTATCCTGCAGCCCACTGTGCTGTGTGAATTGTGGAGAAGAAGTGGTGCTGGAGGGAGGATTCTTCCAGAAGGAGAGAAACTGGAAGCACAGCTATTTGCCTGATGCAAACTAACCCACTCTGGAACAGAAGAGAATGTTACATTCTATACCCACTATGACCTACATGGCTAACTTCTGGATCTATTGAAAAGCAAAAGCAAACTTATGCCTGGAATTTAAGAAGACTCTGCAGAAAGAGTACCTGTTTACTGATTTTCTAGCCACAAATTCTACTCATTAAGTTTTAGGGACATGTGCATCTTGCATTAGGCATACACTATAGACATATTCATGCATGTCTACATATTCAATTACTGTTATCACTAATGAATCTGGGGATGGGAGAACACAATCAATGCAAATTTGAGGCCTAGCAAACTTGATATATGTGTATATCTCAGCTCACACATCATCTTCAGGTGAATCCCACAGGAGATTTGGGAAAGATAAAAGGAAGCATTTCATTAATACACATAGTTAAAATGAAGACTATACTACCACAAGATATAATGATGGTCACCAGTGTGAATGGTGGTAAAAGAGGATTAGGCAAATTCATGGAGGAAAAGGCTATCAATGGCTACTAGAATGAGGGCTCTGGGGTGCCTCCCACATCGAAGCAGGATGGTATCATTGCACTCATACCCTGCTTTTGGTTTCCCAAAGGCTGCTGGTTGTCCACTGTGGAAACGGAACGCTGTTGGACTCCTGGTCTGATCCTGCATGGCACTTACTTCTTTGGTCTGGTGCAGTGCACAGAATTACCTGCTAGCAAGTATATGAAGTGGACTTGAGTACATTTAATTCATGTGCTTTGATTCAAGTTTTATGTTAATTGCCATTTGTCCTAGGATAGCCAATGGTGTCTCTGCATTGGGTGAACTGAACGTTTGGACTTTAATTGTCTACTTAAAATCTTCCTCTTGCAAAGCATCTGATGTGAATCATTTCTGCCTCTAAACCTAGTGACCTACTTCTGCTAATGGACTCTGAATGGTCCCAGCCCCCTCCAGTCTCCTTACTTGTTAGCACTGCTGTATTGGGACACCCAAATTTGAGAAGAACCATATTTCCTCTTTCTTCTTGACTTGTACTAATTATGCTGTGAAGCTGGGCTTGGAAAGACAGGAATAATTTAGTGTCTCTTCTCTCACCTCCTTCAGCACGCAACATGCAAATGGGGTCCAGAAATAACTTTTCTCTTCCACAGCAGCTGGCACTGTCAGGTGTTAAGATTGGCTTTACACTTATGATCACACTGACTACTAAGCAGCATAAATTTTTCAAAGTGACAACTTGCCAACTCTACAGCAACTTGGACTCTAGTTCCTGTTCTTGTAAACTTCCAACCTTTATTAGTCAAACCTACTTTTACTGTCAGTACACTTCAGGTTGAACTTCACGCCAGTTCACATTTCTCCCCTAATTTTCACATTCCCAGAAATTATTAGAAGGAAGAATTAAAAAAGAGGGAGAGGTTTAACTTTACCCTTGCATCTGGTTCTGCTGTGGGCTTGCCAGTTTTCTATAACTGTGCCTCAACTTAAAAAAATGTTTTCCTGGGTACAGTGTGCCACTTTAAAAGTGCAATGACACAGAGGAACCAATAAAACACAGATTTTCAAAGAAGGTTCTCAGGTGCCAAAGCACTGCTTGGATTGACATAGTCCAGAAAAACAAATGGAAATAAATGAAGGCACCTGCAAGACCTGCTGTTTGCCATAGCCTTTAATTAAGGGAAGTTGGTCTACTTTACAACTATAATGAGCATAATGTGAATTACACTGAAGAATCTTGCTTGTATAAAGATATTCTGAGAAGAATACATCAAAGAGGAACTAGAATATTTGTTAATCTAATCAGAACAGGTTACTGTGTTTAAATATTCATAGCCCAGCAGTGGCTTGCTCGCAAGGAGATCCTTTTCTCTGAATGAGTCCAAAACAATCTCCTTGAGAGCAAGCTGGTGCATGCGTAGCTAGTCCAAAACCTCTATGGTGGGTTGGATAAATGGGCATGGCGGGCTGGATCCGGCCCGTGGGCCGTGGTTTGAGGACCCATGATTTAGAGGCTTCAGTTTAATGCAACTTACCTCTTTTCTACCACTGGAAGAAAAAGAAAATATTCAGCCAGCTTTGCAGTGGCTGCCCCAGTTATGTCATGCCTTCCAAAGTGCTGGATTGAATCTAAAGTGCCCTCTAGGCTTTGGTGCTGCACACCTCTAAGACCATCTTTGCCTGTGTGAGCTTTGCTCCTGCCATTTAAGATCCTCCAGGTTTCCCTTGATCCAGGGAAGAGTAGATGCACAGACCTGGTGGCCCAAGAAATTTGGCTCTATTCAGGACCACTGGGACTGAGCCATTCAGATATTTAGAAAGTCTATTGGCTCACCACATTTTAAAACAGTGGATAGTACAGTATATTGACCGACTCATTTAGGTATTTATATTTTTATAACAAATTTGCTTTTCATCTTGGTTTTATTCTGGCGTGGCTTTAATCTGTTTTAGAGATATGCTTTACATTTGTAACTTTTTCAAGTGAAGCACCCACAGAATTTTCTTCTGCTTGGAATAACAGGTAGCATACAAATTATGCAAATAAATTAATAAATCTAAAATTTTAGATATTCATTTAACTTATCTTGAATACAGGATATCTGTGTTATTCTGATTTTTAATATTGCAATATTTTATTAATGGTGTAATAATGAACATTACATCCTAAGGCAACATACAGATGCAGAACATCTTTCAAAGAGAAGTATGCAGACCAGCTCTGCAAAGCTAGCGATCTGACAAAAGGGCCTGTTTTTTGAAGAGCATGGTAGCATAGTAACTACTAGCAGGCAATTTAAGAAAACTGAAAAACAAAGGATTACCTTCTTCAAATGCTGTCTTATAATAGCACTGTTTCTCTCTGTGATCATCCTCATCTCTTCACTTCCTAGATACATAACATTTGCTGTGGAAGTAAGAGATACAGACACGATAAATCCAGTTTATGCAGAAAACTAAAAAATGGTGGCTACGGTCATCAAATGAGGTTGAGGCAGCTCCAGTTAGCTAACGTAACTAGTAAATTCAACCCTATGAAGTAAATTCAAAGCAGCATTGAGATTAATTTAAAAACCAAAATATATAATCAATCACACAAAATGAAGAACCATAGAAGAAAAAAATATAGGAACAGCAACCAGCAGAACCCAGAAATGCAGCGAGGAAAGGAAGAAGGCCTCAGCCTTGATGCACAACCTTCTTAGTCCTGGAGCTGCATGCATTACTGGGGGCGGGCAGACTGGGGCTGCGGATGTACACACACACACACTCCTCACCTCCCTCCAGGAGACTGCTTTAGTGTTGCTGTGGGAGTGGGAGGCTAAAGCCCTTTCAGAATTGCTGCTTTCCCACCACCATTTCCAAATGCCCCCCTCCTCCCCATAATTCCACTTGAGATTGCTGTCAGTGGGGTAATGGGGTCGGTGCTATCAAGTAAATTCAGAGCAATACTGAGATTAATTTACTCTCCTTTGCCACACACAGAGCAGCTACAGGTGACTTCAGAGCCACTGGCTACACGACCCTGGTATATGGCGTTAGGGACGGGCAGGCGTTGCCAAGGAATCATAGAATAGTAGAGTTAGAAGGGGCCATGAAGGCCATTGAGTTCAACCTCCTGCTGTGGTAGGACATCAGGTTACACCATCCACTCAGATGGCTGCCCAGTTTCTTTCTGAATGTCTCTTGTGTGGGAGAGCCCACCACCTCTCTAGGCAGCTGGTACCATTATTGTATTGCTCTGACAGTGAGGAAGCTTTTCCTGATGTCCAGCCTGAATCTGGATTGTCACAACTTGAATTGATTATTCTGTGTCCTACACTCTGGCATCAGCAAGAAGAGATCTTGATCTTCTTCTTTGTGGCAGCCTTTGAGGTACGTACTTATAGAGAGATATCATGTCCCCCCGCAGTCTTCTCTTCTCAAGGCTGCCCAGTAAGAAGCAGACTGCCCATCAAATAAGTGAGGAAGACTGAGTTTAAAAAACACCCCCCCCCCAAAAACCCCCCAACCATAATTTTTACTGTAACTATTAACCAGCTTGTGAATAATACTTTATCAGTCTGTAGCCTAACAGTTCAATGACTTTGCAAGGCCTACTTAAACTGATAAAGCCTGTGAAGATTGCCTTTTTCTAACCGTTCCACATACCAAATAGGAGGAGGTAGTGAAAAACGAGTAATTTGAAGGGTTGCAGTTGCTCCTGGGTCAGGTCTAATGTACTTAGGGATAGAGAAAATTTCCCTTTATGGTCATGCAAGTGACCCCTCATTTGACCTGGAAGATGAGATGCCCCCCTCCCTGCCTGGGCTCCTTCCCTTCACTCCCAAGTCTAGGCAATTATGCATTAGAGTCAGTTTAGTCACATGCCTTTGCTAACAGACACTGCTAATGGTGCCAAAGCATGCTTGATTTATATACGATGGTGCAACATTGATGGGACTCCAAACCAAGGACCAAGAGAAGAAAAGAGGGCTTTATATCACTGGTAGCTCTTTAACTCAAATGTCACAGCCAAAGCTTAATATCCACATCAGCTAAATTAATAGCCCCCCTACAAACACACCTTACAAAGCTTAATGACTGAAATCAATCAAGCCCCTTTCACTCTTTACAGCTATTTGAAACCAATTCAATTAAGCACTGATTGTCAGACAAAATTATCTGCATGTACACCACTGAAGTTCAAAACCATTCATACATTCAGACTACACAAAAAGACAAGGAAGCCAAACAAGCAAGCAAGCAAGCAAATGATGGCCTGGGCTTTGAAGCAATGGGCTGACATATTAACATTTTGTATTCAAATGCTCAGCTGATATCTCTAGAACAAGAATTCAGAAAGAGACGTTGATGGACAGCCTTCTCTTCTTTTTTTTCTAAGGCACGCTCTCACTCAGAGAGCAAACAAGAAACCTATTACATTTCAGTTCATTCCCTGTAGGGCTGCAAACTTAAAAAAGAAACTTTAAGGTTTGCCAATGGATAGTTTTCAATTTGCATAGATTTTAGTAACTTGTCCAAGTGAGCAATTGCTATTTCTTTTCCTGTGGGAGAAGTGGTAACCTTCACTCCATCGACAGAGAGATCCATCCAGCGATTTAATCTACAATCTGAACCCACTTGTATAGTCAATAGTTTTATCAGCCGCAGCACACATGTCATTCCCTGGAAGACTTCAGGTTTTTGCTTGATTACTGCAATGTCCACATGCCACCTGGTCGCTGGCTTGCAGCAGAGAAAATTGTATTAATGGAGACTCATTGGAAGTTGAACGGTCATAATGCATTGCTTGAGGCTATATACACTGAAAGTTAGAAACTTGTCAGTTAATGAAAAAGAAAAAATCCAAACAAATGTGGTCTACATATGTCAAACCAATTTAGGAATACAGGAGAGTTCAGCATGACAGACTTAACTCAGTTAAATTTAGAAGTGGATGTGAGCCCCAAGTTAGCCAAACATAAAAAATATTTGATGCGGCAACCTTAGCTGTGGCTGCTGCACAGAGCACCACACTGAACCAGTACAGTAAATCAAGAAGCAAACAAACGCCATACTATCTAGCTGCTAATCCAAGCATCTGGGATCCTTTGTGACATAAAACATACAAAGTGACGTCACGGCAATGGAACAATACAGAAGTTCCAAGTCAGATTGTTTTCCATTTGGTTAGCCAAGCATTTGAAGAATTTTTTTAATGCAAAAAGCAAAACATGCACACAAAATACATTTCTGTTCCAACAAAGATGATCACAAGGATAGCCGCAGGCTTCTACCTTCTCTAGCTCTTCTTTAGAAATATATTCTACACAAACTTGACAGTTTGGCTGTAGTTTAAGGCATGAGAGACACCTAAGAACTACTGAAACACACTGGTTAAGTTGCCTTTCCTTTATCCAAGAGAGCTCCTTCTTTCCTTCCTTCCTTCCTTCCTTCCTTCCTTCCTTCCTTCCTTCCTTCCTTCCTTCCTTCCTTCCATTCATTTAAAACATTTCTATCGCAACAAAGCCTTGGGGCGGCTCACAAAGAATACATAAAAACATACATAAATAATAATGATATAACAATTTAAAAGAAAAAAAACAACATTAAAAAACACCCGGTGCATTGTCGGCTAAAAATTTTAAAATCCTAATTAATTCAACAATTTAGCAATTAAAATAAGTTTTAAATAAAAAGGTCTTGGCCTGGCGCCGAAAAACATATATCGACGGCACCAGGCGGACCTCTCTGGGAAGCGCATTCCATAGATGGGGCGTCACCGCAGAGAAAGCCCTCCTCCGGGTACTCACCCTCCTAATATCGTTCACAGAGGGTTCCCGGAGAAGGGCATCCATTGCTGATCTCAAGGGGCGGGAGGGCAAATATGGGCGCAAGCGTTCCTTTAGATATCCAGGTCCCAAGCCGTTTAGGGCTTTATAGGTCATCACCAACACCTTGAATTGGGCGCAGACTTCAATCGGGAGCCAGTGGAGCGGACGGAGAACTGGGGTTATATGAGAACAACACCCAGTCCCTGTCAGCAACCTGGCAGCTCTATTCTGCACCAAATGAAGTATCCGGACCGTCTTCAAGGGTAGCCTCACGTTGAGCGCATTACAGAAATCTAATCAGGAAGTGACCAGCGCGTGTGTCACTGTCTCCAGGCAGTCGTTCTCCAGGAAGGGACGCAGCTGATGTATCAGCTGAAGCTGAAGGAAGGCGCTCCTCGCCACCGCCGTCACCTGAGCTTCTAGAGACAGCTCAGGGTCGAGGAGCACTCCCAAGCTGCAAACCCTTTCCCTCAGAGGGAGTGCAACCCCATTTAGGACAAGGCCCAAGTCCCCCATCCTGAGGCCCAAACCACCCACCAACAGGACCTCCGTCTTGTCTGGATTGAGCTTCAGTTTATTGGCCCGCATCCAGCCCATTACCTCGGCCAGGCACCGGTTCAGCACAGCCACTGCCTCACCTGGATTGGTGGAAAACGAGAGGTAGAGCTGGGTATCATCAGCGTACTGATGATTCTGCAGCCGACACCTCCTGATGACCTCTCCCAGCGGTTTCATGTAGATGTTAAATAGCAAAGGGGACAAAATGGACCCCTGCAGAACTCCATGGCATAACTGCCATGGCGCAGAGCCATAGTCCCCCAGCACCACCTTCTGGAATCGGCCATTGAGACAGGAGCGGAACCACCGCCACACGGTGCCTCCAACTCCCAATCCCGCCAGCCTATTCAGAAGGATACCATGGTCGATGGTATCGAAAGCCACTGAGAGGTCCAGGAGAACTAACAGGGATGCACTCCCCCTGTCTCTCGCCCTGTACGATGACCTGTGCAGGGAGAGAGACAGGGGGAGTGC